CAGTCGGCACCGCACTACTCACCAGAGCATGCCACAAAACGCTCTGAACATGTTCCGTCAGCTTGGTAACCAAAATGACGAGAATCATGCTCATTCTTCGAACTCTGCTCGTCATGCTGCCAGGCATTCGCTGGAGGCGAACCTGCTCTACAGCGCCGAGGACAATTCTGAAAACCTGACAGCTACTGCTTCCAGCAGACCTGCATCCTTGCAGTCTTCATACTCGACCAACGATCTGCCCACAGTCAAAGGCGAGCCTTTCAATCCCGCCGTCACTCCTCCTAAGACGCATGCCGAACAGATTCAACACAATGCCAACCTTGGTCGGATTCCTGCTGTGGACCATGTGAACTCCCGCCAACAAAGGGAATCGCTTGAACGCGATGAAGCGAGATTGCAGGGGACCCGGGCCCAGCAGACTACTCTGCAAGCTAGTGCCACACCTTTCGGTCCCCCAATCACCACCGGACCTGCCAATAGCAGCAGTACTGTCGCACCAACTACTTTGACCCCATTCCAGGCGCCGTTCTATGGGTATGGTATTCAAGCCTACATGGGCGCTCCAGTGCAGGTCAGCGGTCAGATCCAGAACTACAATGCCGCAGCTCCCTTTACTGGGTATGCTCCCTATGGCACTTATCGCATGCCTGAAGGTTCGGCCAAAAGCGTTACCTCCCGACGCAGCGGCGATAACGATAGCGCTCAGCTCTCTCGCTTCACCAACTTCCCGCTTGAGCATTATAAAGGCGAGTTGTATGGCCTTTGCAAGGACCAACACGGTTGCAGATACCTGCAGAGAAAATTGGAAGAGCGTAATCCGGAGCATGTACAAATGATCTTTGAGGAAACACGCCTTCATGTGGTTGAACTCATGACAGGTTTGTTTGGCATTCGCAAACCCATGTCGCAAGAGCTTTCACTGACCGTAAATAGATCCCTTTGGCAATTACCTGTGCCAGAAACTGCTTGAATATTCCAATGATGAACAGCGTACTGATTTAATCAACAACGCTGCTCATCAGCTCGTTAAGATTGCTCTTAATCAGCACGGTACCAGGGCGCTCCAAAAGATGATCGAGTTTATCTCTACCGCCGAACAAACCCAAACGGTCATTCATTCGCTAGAGGACCATGTTGTCGAACTGGTTCAGGATCTCAACGGAAACCATGTGATCCAAAAGTGTCTCAACCGTCTCTCTGCTGAGGACGCTCAATTCATCTACGATGCCGTTGGTGCCAACTGCGTGGTCGTCGGCACTCATCGCCATGGATGTTGCGTTCTGCAACGATGCATTGACCATGCGTCTGGTGATCAAAAAGCGCGCCTCATTGCTCAAATCACTGCAAACGCATTTGCCCTTGTTCAAGATCCTTTCGGAAACTACGTTGTGCAATATATTTTGGACCTTGCTGAGCCTCATTTCACCGAGCCCTTGTGCCAGAATTTCCGAGGCAACATCCCCGCCCTGTCCAAGCAGAAATTCAGCTCGAATGTCATTGAGAAGTGCCTTCGTACTGCGGACTTCCAAATTCGGCGTCAGATGATCGATGAGATGCTGGCAGGAGCCGAACTTGAGAAGATGCTCCGCGACTCATTTGCGAACTATGTGGTGCAAACAGCCATGGACTTTGCCGATGCTGAGACTCGAGCGCGGATTGTTGATTGCATCCGTCCTATATTGCCTTCTATCCGTCAAACCCCCCATGGCCGTCGTATTGCTGGTAAGATGATGGCATCCGAAGGCTCAGGAAGGGGAAGTGCCGCAACCAGCGGGCAAGTGACGCCTAACGAAATGAACTCCGCCCAGCTTCCGGGTCCCCTTCAAGGACCACAGAAGTCATTCATGTATCAACACAGCCCTTTCCCAGTCGGTTCCCAGTTTGGAAATCAGAACTTTGTTCCCACCGCTGGCTCCACGACAGGTTCCAACGCTCCGTCTGGTGGACCTAGCGAGGCTATTTTTGCTTCAGCTGTCCCACAAGCCAACGGCAATCTTGGTGCTCAAAGTCAGTTGTATGCGTACTTCTGATTCATTACGCAGCGCTTTGGTTCACCCGTCCTTCTTCATTGAATTGTACTCATAGTGCGACGACGCTACGATCTTCATGACTCACGGCCCCGATGACATATTGTCAGCAAACTGAAAAGACCAGAATTCCCGATACGAAGACAAGATCTTATTTCTATGCAATCTTTCTGCATATCCGGATCATATCTGATGAGAAGATGTAAACGATGATAAAGCCATTTACTGCACTTCATTTGATGTCCTGTATTCTTTCGATGCCTTGGAGCTTCGTTTAGCACCCATTTGACGACCATACCTTTTGAATGTCTTTTACTTCTTATCCAACATGTTTTCTTTTTTTGCCTTCTTTTCTTTTTGCCCACCAGTTCATCTCCGTCGACCAAGCTACTGGTCTGATAAGGAGCAGAGACTGCTGTTTCATATTTGTCCTCGCTTCCCAATTGTGCTTCTAGCCTCTCTTCTTTTGTGTCTCTTTGTTTCTATCTACCAAATCCTGCTATCTCGACACTTGCATCGGGAGAAGGCTTTGCCTGTCTGCATGGCTCGCTTGGCGCGGCTGTTCTTGATTTTCTGGATGAAGCAATGGATGGTAAAGTTGGAACAGACTGCGAATGATGCCTATGACTACCCTTGTGTTTTCAAATTTGGATCCAACTTGCGCAAATCTTGCACTCCGTTGATTGCATGTTGGGATAACCAGCTTTGCGGTGTCTGATGCTTTACATCCTTTCCCCCCTGTTCCATCAGCAGTACCGGTAGATTAGATGTACCCATATTTTAGGCAATCAAGATGTTATTTAGTGATTCATTGCTCTTGCTGTATTTCTAAAAGTATTACTCGATCGAAAACTCCTTCGCATTTGCAGTACCAGATGTGTTTGGAAGAGTCCTGGTAGAAAGCATGTATGGAACACGTGACTGTGTATGACCGTTACCCGCGTTTCTCTTCATTGATCGCTGCGAAAGCCGAAACCTCGAGTTGAGAAATCACGTTTACCATTCTCCTTTTCTACGCCTCTCCGACTCTCTTGAACCTTGACCAGGGAATACATAGGCCTTCAAGGGCCCTACTACTCATATCTATGCTTCCATCAGAAATCAGCCGGTCGCTCAGCAAACAATGGCCTTGTCGAGAGCTCCAGACCAGGCAGCTCGCCAGTCTTCTCGGCGTATGTTTTCTCCCCCAGATCCTCCGAATTCCTTTTGAACATCCCCGATTAAACAGCTAACATATATAACGCGACTGAATAGCCTAGGATCTCCAGCCCATCTACATTAGTCGTGCACGGAATATCCGCCACTTGCAAAACGACCATCGTCCGCAATGTCCTCGCCGCCCTCGAAGTACCACATGCTATTGTCCGGAGTCCCGAATGCATCACCGGCCGTCACTTGTTAACGAAGATCCTCTGGGCAACTCTTGAAGCGCTAGGAAAGCGCGACGAATGGGAGAAATACGGCAAGGGAAGATGCGAGCATGTTAGCTCTCTGGCTGTGCTGCTGGGCGAATGTCTTGCTTCGTTGTCGGACAGCAACAGCAGCAGCAGCAATGACAAGGGCAAGTTTGTGCTGGTTCTGGATGGGATAGATAAGCAGCGTGAAGCTCCGCATACGCTGTTGTCTGCGCTGGCGAGGCTGGGAGAAGTGGTATGTGTTTGTTTTTTCTAGTTCGGTTTGTTGGTGGGGAGTCCTTGCTAATGGGGGGATTGTTTACTCCGCAGATTCCGTCCCTGTCTGTCGTCCTTATTCTCAGCTCTAGTCCGCGGCCGCTGTTTCTTCAGGCTGCCGGCGTTCCGCATATTAGCTTTCCGCCGTATACGCGCAAAGAGGCGATTACTATTATCTTGAATGCTGGGCCGCCGGTCGTGAGTGGTCTGGACGACGGGGCTGCTTCGAGATTATACCCGCATTTTGTGTCCGCTATCTATGATTCCCTGGTTGGGCCTACGGCGAGTTCGATTCCTACGTTCAGATCGATATGTGAGAAGATTTGGCCTCAGTTCGTTGCTCCTATTACCAACGGCGATATCCCGCCCGGAGGAAGCAACGAATGGGACTTCTCGCGACTTCTGGTCAAAAACCGTGCTTTATTCCGCCATCAAGGCGAAGGCGCTCTTGTACATCACATTGTCACCGAAGAAACCGCTCCCGCAAATGGCTCCCTGTCGAAGCCGTCAATGTCCGTCGTCTCGGCCCCTTCACCCCTTCCTTCCCTACCTTACTTCCCGACCTTGATCTTGACTTCCGCATACCTTGCCTCGCATACACCCCAGCGACTTGATACCATCTTCTTTTCGAAATTCTCTTCCTCTTCCTTATCTGCGCGGAATAAACGCGCCCATCATCGGCGACGGTTGAAGGTGCTTTCCCGGGCGCAGGCGGAGGATAGTCGGGAGGCGAGCCGAGGCCCGTCAACCCCTAGCAAGAAAGGCAAAAGAGAAAAGACTCGCATCACGAAATCGACTCTGGAGTCTGCCTTTGCTACTTCCTCTGCCACTACTTCAGCTGTGGGCGGCAACGCCGGTATCACCGGTCCGTCCACGATCCTGACAGCCCGTCCTTTCCCGCTGGAGCGACTGGTCGCTATCTACCATGCCATTGACCCCAATCCCCCTGCAAATCCTATCCGACTGGCGGCCGTTTCCGATGCGATATATGCGGAGCTTGCTACATTACGTCGGTTACGGCTCGTGGTGCCAGCGGCAGGTCGCGATAGCGGCGGTCGCATGGGGCTCGGGTCAGGAGGGTTAAGTAGCGGTAACACGACCTCGGATGCTGGCGAGAAATGGTGCGTCAATGTCTCGGGTGATTGGATCGGAGAGTTGGCCAAGACAGTAGGCGTCGAGGTTGGCGAGTGGTTGGCCGGAGGGTTGGATTAACATCCTCCCTGCCTCCGCGATGGATGGGATATAATTGTGACGCATGCAATCTGGAATCAATCTGGGTTTTGTGTTCATGCTCATTCATCCATTCTTGACTCATGTATTTCTAGTTATATTCCCAATGAGCGTTGCATTTGAATAGAGCATTGTTCTTCTTTTTCTTGGCCACATGAATGAGTTCATTTCGTCTTTGGCGTATTCGACCAGATCCATTCATCCACCGTAGCTTGCGCGCAAACTAATAAGCTAGGTGTTTGGGGTCCATGTAGGGAACCGTCTCCGGGCTCGAAGCAGACTGAGGAAATGGGGTTCGCGTATTGATACCCTGATAATGGTGACGAGACTTGTGAACCGGTACGGAGAGAGAAGAGCTGGATCTTTCGCTCGTCGGATGCTAGAGTGGATTGTCAGTGAATCATTGGCATCGTCCACCTGGGATAGGTAGAATAGCTGAAGAGAGAGGGGGAAGGTAGAGGTAAAAGGGTTACACACCACTAGCGAGGAGCCCAAGTTCCAAGCTGATGTCGAAATCCGGTATTCCTTCAGGCGAATAGTCCGCAAATGTAAGATAAGGCTTAGTCGATGTGTGGTGTTTCTTGTTGGGTTGTGGATTGCGTTGAAGGCCGTTGGCCGGGTATCTGATATCGTACATTTGGAGCTATTGTAGTTCGAATCTTTGTGTCAGATGCAATACTCGTCAAGGTATATGCCGGTGTGTGGGTGGAACACGTACCGAGTTTATACCCGCCACGACGATCCGGTAAGGATCTACTCTTCGCATCTTGGTAACTGCGTGAGGGTGTTGGAGTCGGGTTGCGCTGCCTCCGCTGCGCAGGTCGTGGAGGAATATAGTCGAGTCTTTGAGACCAGCGGCTATTACATCGGATGAGAGCCATTCGACACTCGTGACGATAGCATGGGAAGAGTCCACTCGGCGTTGTAAGATCGGCTTTCCTGTTAGTATGTCGTTAGGGAAGGACTTCTTCGATAATGCCCAGTAGCTGCCGAATCCTTCTAGTGTGTATAGGCCGTCTGAGGTTCCGACGGCGAAAAGCGGCATCTCGCCGGTTGGACAGGCGGATGAACACCATAGGGATGATGATGTGCGGAGACGGATTGGATGGTAAACTGTGTCGTAATAGGTCGGAAGTTAGCAAGCTTGATCGTTGTGGTGCAATAACTGAAAGTACGGGCTTGCTATTTAGGTACGTACACGACGTGGGCCACCGGTAATCTCCACCTTCGTCGGGATCCGGCAGCATGCGCGGCGCCAGAAATGAGTCGCCGTTCGGACCGCTATCCATCGTCGCCCTGATCCTGTCAGCTATCTAGCAATCACAGGATGGGAGGATGCTGTCTTTGATTCGTACAGTAGGTAGCCGGTATGGCTTAGTGAGACGGAGGATAGCTGTAGAAAGCTAGTTAGTGTGTGTTTGTGATAGGGACCGAGGCTGGTAGATATACTCTGTACGGCTCTTTGAAAAGAACGCGCTCCATCGTGCGGTTATATGTCCATTTATCTTGGTCGCAATCCGGGAAGCATACCCTTGGTTGGCGGTTAGCTTGCCGGATACACGACCGCGCAGGACGGAAGGTTGAGCTTACGAAACAGACGATTCACCACCACGATGGCCACCTTTTGAGTTGTGAGATTGTATCGGTGGAAAAACCTATACGTAGGGAACAGCTTACTGGCTATCAAGATGCCTGAGCGCTTGTTGCGCAGCACATGCTTGATGGTATACTCATCAGGCCACGGCTCGAATTGGTGAAGTTGGTTTCGACGAAGCTGGCTTGCGTAAATCACGCTCCTCTGCTCTTGTCGGATGCTGGAAGATACAAGTTCAGAACCAATCTCCCTCTGCACTCCCAGTAGAGGGTTTGACAGAAAAGCAGCCCTTTTGATTTTCTCTTTCGTGGCTCTTTTCGTCAGATGGATTTTCCTTTGGCGCTTCTATTTAAAAGGTAAGTAGGTTATAGGAGACCATGAAAAGGGTGAACACCTACCTCCTGGTCTACGCGCTTCCGCTTGACCGTATCTTGGGTGTATTGCGACCCTGGAGTGGCCTTGTGATTGGCCTGGATCTTGAAGTACTTTTTCTTTTCGGGGTCTATTGAGCGGTCAATGATCGATGCACCGGATGAAGATAGAACCACGTCATTTACCATAGTAGAACCCTGGAATCTCCCTATTCATTTTTCTGGTTAAGAAGTGATCAGATAAGAATAGAGGGTGCGTATTATAGTTTTGATGAGGGGCGCGTCTCAGGGTTGACGCATTCTAGTTTCGAAGTCGGTGGTCGGTGCAGATCACTTGACCGTGCGCAACACACTAGAAACAGCACGGCTCTCACCTTCCTCACCTGCACCAGTCGCGATCAAGCTCTTCACAGCTGGCGAGCAGTCTGGGTTAACTAAGGATCAGGCACCGTGTTGATCAGTAAGACTCTGCGAACGTATAAGTTCTCCATGACCAGAAAGCCATCAAATGAAACTGACATGACGTCGGGTGCTTGATTATGTAATCTAGTGGTCCTCATTGGTCCTTCCCTGTCTCTCCTCTTTGTATACCTTCATCTTTCTCGGTTCTGTTCTTCACTCTGATCTTGACAAAGAGTAGATATCATCACTTTCTTAGGCTGTCACTACTAATACTTGGAGATTTTCTTGTTATCAATGCGCTAACTTGAGTGGGGATGATACCTCTAGCATCACCTACTACCACTTGACAGACCGATATGGAACAGGCATTTTTAGTACTACTAGCACTACTAGCGTCATCAGCATGATGCTACTGTTACTACTTTGTTTGGGCTTAAGCGCTCTATCAGTTGATAGTAGCGTTTGTCAGACTGATTGTCGCCAGATACAGTAACGCTGGTCGCATATTGGTGGTTCCTTCCACTACTAAGTACCGATTGATTAGGACTTGCCTTTTTTAGGATTCAATTATAGCATTCCATTGCTCCTGACGACGTCCTTTCCGTCCTATGGCCATTACTATCTGTTCGCTTGATACCAGTATTGGCATTTTCCCTCCATATTTTTCTGGAGGATGCCATATCTTACAGTCATAGGCTAACAGGTCCTTTACGTCTATCCTCAAAGACCCTTATCGTTCATATGTGATTACTGCGGTCCTGATTATAGCCTTCAAGCATTCCATTTACGACTGTGATGTCCTTTACTTACCCCAAGGACATGGACACCGAGCCTGAGTATGAAGAAAAGATAGCGAGAGAGGCGAAAGTACCGGCCGACATCCATAACGATGAAGGTGAAGAAGAAGAAGACATTGACACTCTCATCGTTGAGTTGGAGTCCGTGGATGGCGGTGCGGAACTAAACACACAGGAGAGCCATCAAACCGGTCGACTACGCCCTATCGCGGATAACCTACTTCAGACAGATCCCATGACAGGCCTTGATGAAACTGAGGCAATCCTCCGTCGCAAAAGATTTGGCTCCAATGAGATGAAGGAGGAGAAAGAAAACCTCGCACTTAAATTCGTGTCATTCTTTGTTGGACCCGTGCAGTTTGTTATGGAGGTACGCACACTACGACATGAGGATCATCCCATCATTTTTCTTTTCGCTAATATATACGCTTTTAGGCTGCAGCCGTATTAGCTGCTTATCTCCGAGACTGGGTAGACCTAGGGGTTATCTGTGGCCTCCTTTTGCTCAATGCGTCTGTGGGATTTGTCCAGGATTTTCAGGCTGGGTCTATTGTCAAGGAGCTAAAGAAATCGCTAGCGCTCAGGGCTGTTGTGTTGCGGGATGGCAAGATGGCAGATGTTGATGCAGCTGAACTGGTCCCTGGAGACATAGTGAAAGTCGACGAGGTAACGATCCTGTGGCGTCGCTTACTGCCTACAGTCTCTGATCATTCCAACAGGGCACTATAATCCCTGCGGATGGCAGAGTGATGACCAATTCACCTATTCAAGTCGATCAGTCTTCTGTGACGGGCGAGTCGCTGGCAGTTGACAAGCACAAAGGCGATGTATGTTACGCATCATCTACCGTGAAGCGCGGCTACGCTCGAATTCTCATTACAGCTACTGGCAACTGGACATCTGTAGGACGGGCTGCGGCGCTGGTCAATGCTGCGTCAACAGGCACCGGTCATTTCACTGAAGTCCTCCATGGTATCAGTATTGTCCTCCTTGTTCTTGTCGTCATAACCTTGATTGTTGTCTGGGTATCGTCATTCTACCGTTCAAACAATACAACAACTATCCTTGAGTTCACCCTAGCCATCACTATGATAGGTGTTCCGGTAGGCTTGCCAGCTGTCGTTACAACCACGATGGCCGTTGGTGCAGCATATCTGGCAAAGAAAAGAGCGATTGTTCAGAAGCTCTCTGCCATTGAATCACTCGCCGGAGTTGAGATACTTTGTTCTGACAAAACCGGCACATTGACAAAGAATAAACTATCATTGACAGAGCCATACACGGTAGCTGGAGTCAATCCTGAGGATCTTATGCTAACAGCATGCTTAGCTGCTTCCAGAAAGAAGAAGGGTATGGATGCCATCGACAGAGCTTTCTTCAAGGCCTTAAACGAGTATCCAGACGCCAAAACGATGCTCCCGCAGTTCAAGGTGCTCGATTTCTCCCCATTTGACCCGGTCTCAAAAAAGGTCACGGCAGTAGTGCAATCTCCTCAGGGTCAAAGAATCACTTGTGTCAAGGGATCCCCTTTGTTTGTACTGAAGACAGTCCAGCAGGATCATCAGATACAGGAGGATATTGAACAGGCATACAAGAACAAAGTGGCGGAGTTTGCAACTCGTGGGTTCCGCTCGCTCGGCGTGGCTCGAAAGTGCGGTGATGGCGAGTGGGAGATCTTGGGTATAATGCCTTGTTCAGATCCTCCGCGACATGATACTGCAAAGACTATCAAGGAAGCGCAGACCCTGGGGCTTTCTATTAAAATGCTGACGGGAGATGCTGTCGGAATTGCTCGCGAAACTTCACGGCAGCTAGGATTGGGCACAAATGTCTACAATGCAGAGCGCCTTGGGCTCGGCGGAGGAGGAACAATGTCCGGTTCTGAAGTTTACGACTTCGTCGAAGCTGCTGATGGATTCGCAGAGGTCTTCCCTGAGCACAAGTACAACGTGGTGGACATCTTACAACAGCGCGGATATTTGGTTGCTATGACTGGCGACGGCGTCAACGACGCTCCATCACTCAAGAAAGCTGATACTGGAATTGCAGTGGAAGGTTCCTCAGATGCTGCGCGATCAGCGGCTGATATTGTGTTTCTCGCTCCTGGCTTGTCTGCGATCATTGATGCTTTGAAGACCTCGCGCCAGATCTTCCACCGTATGTACGCTTACGTGGTATATCGGATTGCACTGTCGCTACACTTGGAGATCTTTCTAGGATTCTGGATAGCTACCAGGAACGAAAGCCTCAATCTGCAGCTTGTGGTGTTCATCGCCATCTTTGCTGATATTGCGACGCTGGCGATCGCCTATGACACTGCCCCATTTTCTAAGACTCCTGTGAAATGGAACCTCCCCAAACTTTGGGGGATGTCAATCCTTCTCGGTATTGTTCTCGCGGTAGGCACATGGATTACACTCACTACAATTCTGACTGCTGGGGAAAATGGTGGCATAATGCAAGACTACGGGAAGCGAGATGAGGTTTTGTTCCTCGAAATCTCGCTGACAGAGAACTGGCTCATCTTCATAACCCGATCAGATGGGGCATTTTGGGCTTCGAAACGACCATCCTGGAAACTAATAGGAGCTATTGCAGCAGTGGATCTCGTGGCAACCTGCTTCTGCGTATTTGGCTGGTTTGCTGGTGGACCAACCTCGTGGCCTACGATACTCCGCATCTACGTTTTCTCCTTTGGGGTATTCTGCATAATGGGTGGTCTGTATTATCTGCTACAGGGCTCCAAGAGCTTCGACAACATCATGCATGGCAAGAGTCCCGTGAGAACCGCTAAGCAACGTTCTATTGAAGATTTTAGTAAGAATCTCTCCTCACCTTTTGCGACCACATACATGGACTGACTCAATATGATGAACAGTGGTTATGATGCAACGTGTATCTTCGCAGCATGTGACAAGCTCGCTGAAAGGTATGGAGAGTGGTCAAGTCACCCGTGGTGTCTAGTGCGGATGCGTCGAACTCGGTTTATCTTGGTTTCAAGACAAATACCATGGTCTGAAGTCATGTATATCATCACCGCATCCAAATTACGGATCACTGCGTTCATTAGAGGTTTACTTCGTTACTACCAACCATTATATCGCTTTTTTGGAGCTACGTATGCATCGCCTGGGTCTCCTGTCCGCCAAGGTTTCCATATAATGATTGTAAGCCGAGTTACACGTGAACAATCAATACTGCTGAATGAGGGCTCGCCCATCAGGAGTTCCTACCTTCATTGGCTAGATATATATTGTCTGAACCGTCGCACTGTGTTTGTAAGTGAAGAATGAAGAATACCAATACCGTACTATCATGATACGTCTCTTGAGACATATCATATCCACAACCTGCCGTCAACTTGACCAACTGTTATCTACATGCAAGCAAGCTCCCTGCACGCTCTTCATGACCCGCATCACATGTAGACTACTCTCAGGCTATATTGGCATGTCCATTCCGTTGTCAATGTCAGACCCACATCCACAGCTGGGCGACGAAGCTCGGACCAAACCTAAATTCCCTAGCGATCAGACGGCTTGTTTCAGATGGTAATTGAATAGATAATGCTATGGATCAATTCTCGAGCATATGAACTGTTGTTTCACTTTGAGCAATGACAATAGTGTGTTAGGGATTACTTAGCCAGACATGAGCTATGCAATATAATTAATACAAAACAAGGGAGGCGCGAAAAAGCAGACCAAAAGGTACAGTATACAGAAATAGTAATTGCCCCCGACCGCTCTACCCTGGCCTTGGTCGTTGCTTCCTTTATGGATCCGCTGTTCTTCTGCACTTCGTTTCTTGTTTCATAACTAATCCAATAATTGTGTTCCTAAATTACACGGGGCGATGATGATAAGTGTAGATCATAATATAGTTGACTGTGATGTGGGTAAGGCGCACACCGCTGAAAGAGAAGGGATATACATTGCAGCAATAACAACATGCAAGCTGGATCACATATGAGTCAAGGAAAAGGAAAGTAAGGAAGGGGACGTAAGGTGGGAGGAATTAGGGGGGAAGGAAACATTTGGAGCGAGTGAAGGGCTCATGGAATAAAAAAAATATGTGCACTGATCGAAAAAAAATAGAAGAGGCTATGGATGCAAATCAAGACTTGGAAGTCAGGTGGTCTACGGCCTATGATAAGCAGTTAGCACGGAAGCTTCCCCTATTGATGGTTTGATAATATACCTTGTCAAGGTTGTAGTCGAACTTCTCCAGAGCTGAGAGGGATTCTTCTCTGGGGAATCCCATGCCTGTCAGCCGCTGGAGAATCTGATCGTCTTCGGTGCCCGTCTGAAGAGCCCAGCCGGGTTCCTTGCTGGCTTCTGTATTGCCCGTTCCGTTTGCTCCGTCAGCAGCAGCATTGGCGTTGTCAAGAGGAGCAAACAACGCTTCCCAGTCGTGAGTCTGAGGTTTCGCGCTGGGCTCGGAAGGCGGTGCAGCAGAGTCGGGAGGCGAGGAAGATACGTTCTTGTCAAAGTTGAAAAACTCTGAGGATGCGACATCCGCACCTTGATGGGGAGAGGTCTTCTGTGCTGACGGGTTGTCGAATGAGAAATCGAAGTCCACACCGGCTTTGGCGTTATCAGGCGCTTCAAAATCGTCATCTTCATCTTCGGCCTCCTTTGCTGGGGCAAGGTTGAGGCCGGCGAAAGCAGCCTCAAAGTCAGGCGCGCCTGCCTTGGCCCCTTGGGGAGCAGCCTCGGGTTCCTTTGTCCCGTCACGTTGGGCTTCACCACCCACAATCGGTGCCCCTGTGCTTGACTCTACTGAGTGTGGAGCATCAGGGGCAGTGGTTGGGTCTTCACGGTTCGGTAGGAGTCCGTTGTACTCGCGTGGCAAGTCTCCTGGCTCCTGCTTTTCAACGGAGTCCTCATACTTTGGGGGGCTTGGCTGCGATTCCGCCGCAGGAGGCTGGCTTGCAGTATCCGCATTGCCAAGAGTGGGGAACGCTGCCAGTTGGGACGGCTCAATAGAATCGGGATTGGGTGCTGCGGCGATTTGAGTCTGTGGAGGGAAGGCGGGGGTGAAATTATCCTCAAAGCCCAAGGGGGCTTCGCTGTCGGAGCTCTCATCTCCATCGTCAAGTTCGCGAATGGGAGGAAACTCTGACTCAGGGGCGGCCGGGGCTCCGTTCGATTTGCTTGCTCCAGGCCCACTCTTCATGGCAGCAAAGGCTTCTTCAAAATCATTCTCTTTCTGTGACTTAGAGCGCTGATGTGCTGGCCCGCCGAACAGTTCATCAAAGCTGAGATCTTTGCGCTCTGCAGACTGGTCATCTCCAGAAGGTGCTACAGCGCCAACTGCAGGTTGTTCACTTGCGGCGATGGTTGGAATCTCGGGGAATCGCTCCTTTGATTCCTCGCTTTCATCAAACGGAGAGGTGGCGGGCTGTGCCGACGAAGGACCTGCCACTTCACTGGTTGCTGCCTGCGAGGCTGTTCCTAGACTGGCCGTGTCTTGACCACCAAATCTGCTACCTGGGGGCGAGACCTTTGTCGAAGAAGTCGCCGAATGGGTCTCTCCAAGAGGCAACACACCCGGTGTCAGTTGCCTAGACTGAGCCGGGGCAGGAGGCTCCAACCCAGGACCAGGAGCGAATGGAGGCGGAGACACTGACGGAGTGGGCACCCCAGACGTGGGCTGAGATTCAGCCCGGAAAGACACTGGAGGCGGTGGTGTAGCGGTTGTCGGTGGTGAGGTGAAGGCGGAACCGAACAGGCTATCAAAGGCCCGCTGCTGATCGCCAGAAATCTGCGGAGATAGCGCATTGCCCTCGCTCGATCCAGTAGCCGTACGCTTGAAGAACGGGTTGGTGTTTTGACTCGTCGTCGACTCGGCTGGGCTCATAACAGGAGCGGCATCACTTGGACTGACAACTCTCTCCTCCGACGCTTTAGGCTGCTCCTTGGACAAAGAATCGATCTCGAGCTGGATCTTGTCGCGCTCTCCCTCCACAGTTGCCAACTGCTTCTTATTGATCGCGACGAGACCTTTTTGTTGCCGGGCCTCTGAGCGAGCCTTATCGAGGGCAGGCTTGAGCTGAGCAACTGCAGCGTTGGCTTGTCGGATCTTCTCCTTCAAACTTACGTTCTCCTGCTGATCAGCGCTGAGTGCTGCTGATACCTGGTTATACTGGTTTTGTAAATCCTGACGGCTTCCTTCGATCAAGGCATACTCCTGCTGCAACTTGCCAGTTTCTGCCCGTGAAGCATTGAGCCGTTCCTCCAAAGCTTTGAAGTTCTTCACTTCTTGCTCGTACATCGAGCGGGCCTGAGCGAGACGAGCCTCAAAGTCTCTCTTCTGCTGCGAGGTTTGCGACAGATCCTGCTCGGCAGATGTTCGCTTCGTTTGGACGTTCTGCATCTCAGTAGCCAGCGAACCGATCTGATTAGACAGATTTGCAAGCTCGGTGGTTTCCTGAGTCAGTTTGTTTGACTCTTCAGGGTCGTTGTCTCCCAAAAGATCATCCGCTGGGGGCGGCGGCGACCTAACGGGTGGCGGAGCACCAGCTGAAGCGCCAGTCATCTGTGGCTGCAGGGTCTGACCAAAGGATGAAGTCGGCACAAACGGTTTGAAGGTAGTTGAGGGAGCCTGGGGAGAGGCTCTCGAGCCGGGGGAACCAGGAGTCTGGAAGGCGGCATTCGAACCCCCGGTTGACTGCGGAATTTGGGAAGGAGCTACCGGCGGTGCCGGTGCCGGCGCAGAAAGTGCATCTAGGCCAAACAGATCGTCAGCCGCCGAGTGTGGTGTGGGAACCGGCGCTGGAGCCGGAGCCGGAGCTGGGGCTGGCGCCTGGGCAGGAATAGGAGCTGCTGGGCCGAAATGCGAAGATCCAGGGCGGCGCATGCTCGGAGGGATCAAGGCGGGAGGCAATGTCTGAGGCAGCGCCTCCTTTCCACTACGCGTAAGGCGAACCAGATACATGGCGACGGCAAACTCATCCTTGGTCAACTGTCCGTCCGCATCTATATCTGCGAGATCCCAAATCTGAGCGAGTGTCTCCTCAGGCAACTGTGCACCCAGGAAGAAAGCGACAGCCTGGTCACCACTAATTGAACCTGCCTTGGCCGTATCAACCGTAGCAAAGATGTTGTCAAACATAACCTTCTCTTGCGGCGAGATAAGCCAGTCACCACCAGTAGCTTGGGCGGAGAGAGGAGATCCGAACGGTTGCCTATTGATCGGACTCTGCGTACGCTGGGGTCCAGTGAATTGCTTCGGAATCGCAGGCACCGGAGGAACCTCGAGACCTTGACGGGAACCGACCGACGAGCGGAGAGAGCCTCGGCGAGCGGCAGCATCATAGAGAGCGGGTGGAAGTGTCTGAGGAATTCCCCTCATCGCACCGGACTTGTAGGACGTAAGGAGGTGCATGGCAATGACAAATTCCGTAGCATCTAGAGCACCCTGTTGCCTTCTATCCGCCAGGTTCCAGATGCGACCAAGGATCTCGTTCGGTAACCGCGCACGCTCGAAGATCTGCTTAGCTGTCTCGCCTGTCATGATGATCTTGTTAGCGACTGTGTCCACGGTTTGTCGGCCTCGGGGCGCTGGCTGGAGGGGCATATGTATGTACCTGGCAGTACCCCACTTTTGGACACATCCGATTTCTCAAACAGCGACAGAAACTTGTTCACATCATCGGGGTTCAGCGGAGGGACCCGGATCGGTGCGTTTGCGCCCGGAGTAGGGCTGGTAGTGCCTGCTTCACGCGGATTCGGGGTGGCATCGACAACGATCCCTTCGAACTTGGGCAGGGGTCCAGCTGCAACGGCGAACAATGTCAGCAAAGGTTGCGCTCTCATCCTTTGATCTATCGAGGCCAGAACGAGCACCCAGCGTTCACTCACGTTGAAAGGCCAGTTCCTCTGTAGGTGCGCGACCCGCCTGAGCGTGTCCGATCAGCCGCATGACGACACCAAACCCAGAAGGGGTCAATAGACCCCGATTTTCCTTGTCTGCGATCTGCCATATCTATATCACGTCGCCATGATCCAGTTAGCCGTCCGAATCCGATTGCGATTGCGCGGGGGAAAGCTTTCCCCGAGAGTGGTAGGCAACGACATACCAAGCCGAGGGTTTCCGGGGCCAACTGGGTCTTCTCGAAGAAAGGAACCGCGACCTCGCCGGTGATGACGCCGAGGTTGGTGGTATCGGCGGCCTGGAAGAGTTGATAGAAGACCCGTTTCTCTTCCGGAGTCAGGTTGAGATTGAGATTCCGAGCTGTTTGGGGGAGAAGAGAGCATCCGTCAGTTCCGTTGTTCGGTCGTCATCGTAATCGACGGGGTTGGGCCGTTGTCCCCTGAGAGCTCGGGCGGGCGACAATTGTGCAGCCAGGACACGAGGACTCACCGTTATCAGCCATTGTTATAGCTCAGGAGGAGCTAGCCTCCCTTCCGTAGAAACGCTGTGCGCCAAATAATTGACCGAGAAATTCCGGACGGGGGAGTGTTGAAGCAGAGCAGGAGAGACGGCTGTCAACCTTGAAGGTGGAAGACAGCACGGGGCATGGATGGCCAAGGCGGCAGCAGCAGCTCTTCTGAGGGGAACTTAGTAAACGGGGGGGATGAGAATGTCGCGAGGCAGGATTGCCAGAAACCACAAAGAAGAGGGGGAATGGAAAGGTCCGACAGCTGAAGAATGAGGACAAGTCCGAGGGGGAAGGGGAAAAAAAAAATAAAAAAGGAATAGTAACCCAGAAGTTAATAAAATTAGGGGAGAAGGGGGAGCAGGAGGAGTAAGTAGGAGGAGGGAGGAACTGGGCGACCAGAGAGTAACTAAAGCGAGCCGAGCACCGCAGGCAGAGGGGCGGCCCAGCCAGAGGGGCGGCCCAGCCAGAGACAGCTCCTGCATTAATTAACTGGCCACTGCTACTGCTACTGCTACTGCTATGCTCCCCCCGGGCGGTCAGTCACTCACTCACTCAAGTACTACCGACGTCAGTCAGTCCAGTTCCATTTCCCTGTCTCTCTCCACCCTCCAGGGTCCATGGATTACTTACTCCCTGGAGGCTCACCCGGTCGGCACGAATCCGACTGATGTATGCACCTCGGCGGAAGCTGTTCCTCCTTTTCTGGATGTGGCGTAATTTAGAGTAGGATCTCATAGACTTTACTTTCCCATCTCAAAAGCCATCCCTCCTATTCTACCCCCATTCACTTCCTTTCGCCATGCAACACGAACCACGGGAGAGTACTAGTAAAAGCGCATTTCCTCGCTCATCGTCATTTTCTTCTCATTTTACCACTACAGGGATCATCATCAATTCGCTCGAAACTTGCAAAATGTAGATTACAATTCTCTTAGGTGCCCAAAAATCCTGCACATGTGTTTCGAACGAGCGAGTAAATTTCAGCGCTGCTTCAAGGGATATTAGAAAATATACTCAGACAAAAAGAAAACATAGTCTGTACTACGGAGCCAAGCTTCTCCTTCCTATTTGCATGCAGCCAGAGTCCCGCTGCTCATTTGGGTATACAACCTTGGCCAACGCCTTGCCCCAACGGATCAATTCACATTGCTTCAGGGCCAGCCACGGCTTCCACCCGGACGGCCCGGCCGGACCCCCCGCGGGACTCCCGCCCAAAATTCGGTCAGATCTAGTACTCGGCCTCAACCTCCTCCTCCAGGGAGTCGCTGGCAACCTCCTCGTAATCGCGCTCGAGGGCAGCCAGGTCCTCACGGGCCTCGGAGAATTCACCCTCCTCCATACCCTCACCAACGTACCAGTGGACGAAAGCACGCTTGGAGTACATGAGGTCGAACTTGTGGTCGAGAGCGGACCAGGCCTCGGAGATGGCGGTGGTGTTGGACAGCATGCAGCTAGAATTGGTTTTCCGTTAGCTTTTTTACTCCCGTGAAAAGAAGCATATCAGATGGAGAACTTACACAGCGCGCTTGAGGTTGGCAAGGTCGCCGTTGGGGACCTGCTGGGGAGGCTGGTAGCAGATACCGATCTTGAAACCAGTAGGGCACCAGTCGACGAACTGGATGGTGCGCTTGGTCTTGAGCGTGGCGACGGCAGCGTGGGTCTCCTTGGGGACGACATCACCACGGTACAGCAGGCAAGTGGCCATGTACTTGCCGTTGCGGGGATCACACTTAACCATCTGGTTGTTGGGCTCAAAGCAGCTCATGGTGATCTCGCTGACGGAGTTGGACTCGTGGGAAGCCTTGTCCGCGGAGATGACGGGGGCGTAGGCCACCAGAGGGAAGTGGATACGGGGGTAGGGGACCAGGTTGGTCTGGAACTCGTTGAGATCGACGTTGAGGGAACCGTCGAAACGGAGAGAAGCGGTGATGGAAGAGACAACCTGGGCAATCAGGCGGTTGAGGTTCTCGTAGCTGGGGCGTTCAATACCGAGGTTGCGGCGGCAGATGTCGTAGATGGCCTCGTTGTCAACCATGAAACTGCAGTCGGAGTGCTCAAGGGTGGTGTGGGTAGTGAGGATAGAGTTGTAGGGCTCAACAACGGAGGTGGCGTTCTGAGGAGCAGGGTAGACGCAGAATTCCAGCTTGGACTTCTTGCCGTAGTCAACGGACAGACGCTCCATCAGGAGAGCACCAAAACCGGAACCGGTACCACCACCGAAGGAGTGGAAAACCAGGAAACCCTGGAGACCAGCGCAGTTGTCGGCAACACGGCGGACCTTGTCGAGGACCTGGTCGATCATCTCCTTGCCGACGGTGTAGTGACCACGGGCATAGTTGTTCGAGGCATCCTCCTTGCCAGTGATCATGTTCTCGGGGTGGAAAAGACTGCGGTAGGTACCGGTGCGGACCTCATCGACAACATTGGGCTCAAGGTCGCAGTAGATGGTGCGAGGAACGTACTTGCCCTGACCTATACACCATAATTTGTTAGGGTGGGCTGGAGGCGAAAGGAGAGCAGGGGGGCACTGAGTGGAGAGAGCTATGGAAACGTACCAGTCTCGGAGAAGAAGGTGCTGAAACCATGGTCAGGGTCATCCTTCTTGCGCTCCTCGGTCAAGTAACCATCGGCCTGGCATCAGCAAGCAAAGGTCAGTGGGATTGCTCATCGATGTGGAGTGGCAACGCTGGACAAAGGCGTGCCTAGGCGTTTGTTTTCACATACCTGGATACCGTGCTCAAGGCAGTAGAGCTGAACAACATCGTTAGTCCACTGTTTATACCCATAATTCATGGCATATGCCCATGTTGTTGACTTCAAAATATTGTTTCAGGAAAGGAGGGGTCGATTTCCCCTGTCTAAACATACCTCCCAGCAGGAGTTGGCGATCTGGCAACCAGCCTGACCAACTGTGAGGGGGGAAACACAAACATTAGTGACCACGCGAAAAATCAAGTGGCGGCGAGGGAGGGATTGGGCACACACCGTTCAAAGAAATAACTTCTCTCATTTTGGCGAGTCGAATTGATAAGTTTCAGATAGTGTTTGATGGAGGGACACGGAGTGGGCGTGGAATGTGGACAGAGGGAAAAATTAAAATACCCAAGGGCGATCTGTACGGGGTTTTCAGGGGTAAAGTTAGTAACCTAACGAGCCACCACAACACAGGGCACGAAAGGGGGTTAATTGGAGATGGTGAATTGGATGAAGAGGGAGGGAAGGAAGATTCAAGGGAAAGGGAACAGGTGGGAAATTAGTAAAAACGGGGGGGGAGGGAGGGAGAGGCCACGAACCCTGGGGAACTGTTTGGTTAGTGACAATGGAGGAGCAGGACGAGAATCGGTCGACTCGATTTGTTGTGGTCTTTCATGCGCTGTCAACCCAACGATGCCGCCGTGGTTGATCCGTCCGTTGGGTCGCGTTGAGCTATGGGCCTTCTGATTGGCTGCTGCCCACCTGGCGGTCAATAGCTGAGTCAGCAACCTGTTCCGGTTAAGATCTGGTCACGTGGAGAGCAGTGACGGCATGACGAAAGATCGCCGAACATCAGCCGGATCATCGCAGTCCATGGATTGCTCACCACCATTACCATTGCAATTGCTATGTTTTCTTCTCTCAATTGATCCCTCGTCCTCGTCCTACACCTTCAGACTCTTTGACCTATACGGCCATATCAAACACGAATATCCCTGAAATCAAACATCAAGGATATTCCATCTTCCACCTTCCACCGCAGCTCCGATCTAGATCTCCAGCAAAGCTTCAGACAAGTACCTATCCCAATCCCACACTTCTCACACGATACCAAGTCCTCTAACGCAACACCGCAGGTCCATTCCAGCTTTTCTCCCACTATACCTCCAACAATGATCATATGAAACAATACTACACACCACGAAACACCCCCTCATCGACCATAACCAACCAACAATGCCTCTCACCCTTCCCCTCCTCCCCCGCCATGTCCCCTCCTCTATCCCTTACCTCCTCCTCGCTTTCCTCCTCTTCACGACCCTCGCAACCGCCAACGTCGAAAAGGCCATCTTTCTAGCCCCTCCCCCTACCACAATTCCAACCCCACATCCCCCAATCGACGACCTAGGTCTCGCGCGCCTCTCCCCCTCCCACCCCATCCTCCGCACACACCTCAACGCATCCTTCCCAACCCAATCCTCACCAGGGACTGAATCCTGGTTCTTCCTCCAAAACCTCACACCTGGTCGGCGCTATGAAGTACGCATATGCTGGCTAGCAACTGTACGTGACCCTATCCCCACCGAACCCCAAACCCACCCATCTACCCTCATACCTAGTCTATACTAACTCTATGAGAAAAAAGCAACCAACATCCTTCACCCTAACAACATACACGCTCCCGCACGCCCTCTCAGATACCTTCCTCCTCTCCTCCATAACAAACTACTCCTCCCTGCGCCTCGCCAGCAATCCAAACTCCGAACTCAACCTCGACCTCGACGACACAACCACCACCAACTTCAACCCCGAAACTCCCCTCGACAGCAACGAGCCCATCACGGACTCCGTCCTCTTCCTGCGTATCCGCGCCGCGGCAGACTACTATACCACGGATAAGGAGCTGATGACACATGTGCCGCCCGTGGCGGTGGATGTGATTCTGGATCCGTTTCTGGGGAATGTGTTTCCGAGGTCGTTGGTGCCGACGGCGTGCTACGGGGTGATTGTGGCTGTGGTGGCTGTTTTGGTTGGGAAGTGGGTGGTTGGGGAGTTAGGGAGAGTGGTAGATGATATGGCTGAGGAGAGGGAGAAGGAGGAGGGAGATGAGGATGTGGATGGGGATGGGGAGGTAGTAGTAGATGGGGTGAGAGAAGGGAAGAAGGTGCGGTGATTTATGATCTTTCCTTGAACAGGTATATATACATCATGTGTGCATGATTACACTGGATGATATTTGCATATTAGGATACTAGGTACTTTCGACACTTGTATGATTACTGTTTTCATATTATGATTTTACCAACATTTAGCGACGAATTAGTATGACATTCTTTCTTTCATCGAGACATCAATACATACATACAACATGGCTTCATTACACAGGCGCTGCGTCTATCTTTCCGTCTTTGTATGAAAGCACATCCAAAAACGAGAGGAAACACAGAACAAAAGTAGCCCTAAAACATACAGTCATATCCATCGCTCCACAACCAAGACAACAAAAACAATAGGGGGAATATCTAATGCGAACAATCCATCCCAAGCAAATAAAGCACGAAGACATGACATAACATGAACGAAATATATCTAAAAGCCACATAGATCTACCTGTAGTCAGATCACCATAACAAACACGCCATGATCTCATTCCAAGATTAGTTAATAGAGTAGAGAGGATATTTTAAGTTCGCAGGTAGATTGATCAATCTTCAAAGAAATACAGCACCGCACGCATACCCTTACTGCCCAGGCCGTGCGGCGGATAAGCAATATAGAGCGGGTCGTCCTCGGCGCCAAGCTTAGCCCGGAACTCACTCTTGCGCACCAGATGGAACTGCTTGGCCATGGTGTCGTAGGTGTGCTGGAGCATCTTGATGCGCGCGCCGCGGAGGTTATGGCCGGGGGTCAGCGAGGACATGGCGCCGGCGCCGAATGTGAAGGACTTGACGCCAGCGGCGGCGGCTGTTTGAATAGCGTGGGTGACGATGTGTTCGATAACGCCGTTAGGGGAGCCCGGGAAGTCGAAGCTGTATTTGATCTGCATGCCGTGGACGGGGGCGAGTGTGGCCAGGGCGACAAAGGCGCAGATGGTGCCCTCCTTGTCGACGGCATAGAAGTACCAGCGGTGCTCGGGATCGCGCCAGGGGCGGATCTCGGACAAGTGTACCTGTGTACCCTTGCGGTTGTTGAGCCAGTCCTGGACGCGCTGGTCGATCTTCTGGCGGACCTCGTCGGAGACCATCTCGCCTCTGTTCACGGTCACAATCTTGACGCCCTCGCTTTCGGCGTGTCGGATCTTGCGAGCAATTTCGCCGTCCGAAGCTGCCATATTGCGGGCTGGGTTTACGCGCTCCTCGGCAATGCAGGACAGAGTTCGCCAGCCCATGCGCTCGCCCAGGATGGTCTCGACTTCGGCGGAACAGAGCAGCCAGACGGGCTTGTACTTTGTCTCGCGCCGCAACCACTGCAGGAACTGTGTGATCACTTGGCGGTACTGCTTGGGATCGCACAAGGGGTTGCCTGGAATGATCACGTAGTTGCTGCTGCTGGGCACGTAGGAGATAGCGGCACCCGTGCCCATGTCACGCCAGATCTTGAAGCGCTCATCGCCCCAGGAAGTGGAGGTAGCATCGCCGTAATTGGCAATGAGATGCTCGAGCGGCTGGAGCTGACTCGTATCCTGTGCGATGGCACCCTTCCTGTCGCGCGCCCACGGAGGATCAATAGTCGATGACTCTGGGTGCCGCAGTTGTGCCGCCACCGGCTTGGCCGGAAAGCTGCGGGGGTCGCGAGGGAAGAGGGATGCTAGGCGGATATTGCCCAGTTTCAGAAGCAGCATCAGCAGACGCTCCAGGCCAACACCTGCTCCAGCGTGGGGTGGCGCACCCCAGCGGAAGCCCTCCATATAGTCTTCCATGGTATCGGGGTCAATACCAGAGCGACGCATGTTCTCCTCGAGCATGTGGGGGTCGTGGATACGTTGGCCACCAGAGACGATCTCCTGACCGCGAATGAAGATGTCGAACGAGTTGGTGAATCGGTCATCCTCGGGGTCGGGCATGGTATAAAAGGGGCGTGCGCTGGCAGGGAATTTATCAAGGATGTAGTAGTCGGTGCCAAACTTCTCCTTGACCAACTCACCCAGGCGAATCTCATCGCGAGTGTGGAGGTCCTCATCCTCTGGCAGCGGGTTGCCGTCCTCGTCGCGCCAGCCAGAGTCATTCAGCATCTTGATACCGTCCGAGAAGCGCAGGATGGGGGTCTTCTCCAGCCACACAACATCTTCTGACGGGAATTGATGCTTCACAGTCTCCACCTCGCGGCGGTAACGACCATACACACCTTGAAGAATGGACTTGATCACGGCATCCAGCACTTCCAACATTTCATGGTAGTGCTCCTCGATGGCCATCTCGATATCCAACCCAGTATACTCAGTCAGATGGCGATGGGTATTGGAGTTCTCCGCTCGGAACACAGCGCCAATCTCGTATACACGACCAAAATCGGCGGCGATAGCCATCTGTTTGGCTAGTTGTGGACTCTGCGCCAGGAAAGCATCTCGCCCGAAGTACTGCACGTGGAAGACACTGGCGCCTGACTCGGTCGCAGAGCCTTGCAGCTTGGGCGTGTGGATCTCCATGAAGCCTTGCTCATCGAGAGCGAATCGGAAGAGGTTGCAGATGGCGGATTGAATGCGGAAGATGGACTGAGAGGTCGGGGTGCGCAAGTCGAGTAGACGATTGGTGAGACGAACGCGATCGGGGATGTGACTGCGGCGGCCTTCGATGCGCTCCTCTTCGGCCGTTTGAATCTCTGCCTCATAGATACTAAATGGGACGGGCTCCTCGCGACGCACGACCTGGTGCAGCTCGTCGATGGAGATCTCGACGTCGTGGATGGTACAGCCCAAGATCGGCACCTGAGGCTTCTGGATGGTTCCCCGCACACGGACAATGGAACCCAAACGCAGATGCTCGGCCCAGTGAATCATGGCGATGGATTTGACGCCTGCCTCCTCATGCAGAACACCCTGGAAGGTGAGCAGCTGCTGGCGGAACACGAGGAAGACCAGCTTGGCACTCATGCGACGAATGATGTGTAGACGAGCTGTAAAACAGACCTGCTGGCCCACCAAGGACTCGGAGATGGCATCTAGATTGGTACGGACCTCACGAGGGCGTGTCCGGGACTGTATCAGCGGCAATTCGCCATAGCGAGCCTTCATCTCCGAGGTCTCCTCGCGGGTGGCATTAGCGACTTCCTCCTTCCGACGCGAATCGGATTCGTCAGAATGACGCTCCTCGCTCAGACGGGACTTCTCTTTGCGCTGTTTACGTGCCAGGCGTTTCTGCTGATTCTTGCTGATGCTGCCAGGCGACGAAGAGTCATCTGAGCCGTCATCAGAGGAAGAGGCATAGTCGCGATCGCGCAGGAAGTTGCTGAGAATGCTGCGGCGGGGAGACATGGATGCAGCCGAGGCCGGGGTACTGTGACTCGACTCATCGTCGGGCGACGACTTGTTGGGTACAATCTTGGAGAGCGCACGTTTGATAGACATGATGGGAGCGGGAGGATGGGAGTCAACTCCCATGTGATGTGATAAATAGGATTGAAGGGGTAAAGATGAGGAAGAATGACCGTCAATG